ACTTAGGGATATGGTTTAGGGGGTAGACAGGAACGGTTGGACGTGATGATCTCAGAGGGCTTTTCCAACCGAGCCATTCTGTGATTCTGTAATAGTCAATATTTGCCTGATGAGATAATAAATTTAAATGAAACTTTTAAATACTCTAACATTACTGATACAAAACAATTCCACTTTTAAAGGAAGATTTTCCAGAGTCATTCTCCCAGTTCTGTTCTGCTACTGAAGGTGTTTTCAAGCAAGACAAATTAATTAGGAACAGGACTGAGCAACACAGCACTCAAAGCACAACGAGACTGGCACCAGCAACACACAAGCTGTTCAGATTCCAGTGGTGCACTTGCAGAACTTGACCTTCCACATCAGCCAAGCCCCTGCTCTCCTCCTAACCACATTTCCTCAGGAGATCACTGCCGAATCGCTGACATTTCCTGGAGAACTCCTCAAGCTGTGCTCCCCTCCCGCTTCCAAGTGGGTTTCTCCTGGGGGAGGCACATGGGATCCCCACCTTCCTTTCCCATCAAAGCCAGCTCTTTGCAGCAGCTCCAGCTCTGACGCCTCTGTTAACAGCAGCTACACAGAACTCGGGTGACATCCAAAACCCCACGGCTCTGGTGAAGACTCCTCTTGGTAATTACAGCTAATTGCAGTCTGGTGGGTTTCCTGTTTGGCCAGTGCACCCACTGGAATCCAGACGGAGCCAGCAGAGCTGACCAGCGCCTTCGCACGTGTCACCTCATGGAGGGCACCCAAATCTCACAGGAGAGCATCAGCAGCACTGGGAGCCCTGATTTCGGACACGGGCTCAGTGAACTCAACCAGATTCACCTGGTTCAGTAACACTGGGATCTGCAGTCCCAAAGCACAGGACTCAACACGTCTCATCCTACCCATTGCTCAGTGCATGTCCCAGTGTTGGAGAGGAGGGAGAGAGAGGAGAGAAATGGACATTGGCAGCTACAGGGATGCATGCTAGATTTTTTTACATATTAAAAACAGCATAAACTGATCACCTTCTAAAATGCTTTCTTTTTGGAGCTAAAGTTACAAAATATTTGCTTTCTATTATGTTGAAGAACAAGTTACTCAACACAGAGCAAAAATACATTTAAGGGCTCATAAACAAAATAAAAAGGTGTATATTTAATTTTATTTTACTGCCTTAAATGAGGAGGACCTCCAGTTTGTGCTGCAGGTTCACTAAACAGACTCATTTCTCCCGAAAATTCCAACCTGTTGCCTCCTCCCAGCAGCTCAGCATCACCCATGCCTGAATGAGTCAAAAGGGCAGTGACCATCAGTACCAGCTACAAACAGGTACATGATTAGCTATTTTTAATTTGTCTGTTCTTCAGCAAGAACAGGATGCAACTGCAACTTATCAATTTGAACTTCTAGGCTCTGTGATTCACTCAAACTCAGCCATAAAAAGCCAAGGAAACCAGCACCAAGAAGAACACGAGCCAGAGAAATCACTTCAATGAAGTCAAAGCATCTTTATCAATGATCTGGATGAGGGGATTGAGTGCTCTCTCAGCAAGTTTGTAGATGGCACTGAGTTGGGAGGAAGTGTTGACGTGCTGAGGGTAGGAAGGCTCTGCAGAGGGA